GTCACATGTCTGTATTTTTTTTGTTTATAATAAAGTTTTATGTGATCTGCTCCAGGAATACAGATGTGAATTAGCAGTTTTACTATAATCTGGCATGTTTAGATTTTTGTCCCTGTTAAATAATAGAAAGAAAGACAGAAAAAAGCCAATTTCAATGCAATATTAATTCTGTAACTTTATTGTTAATGCGTTCTAGATGCTTCCCCAGGAAATTGTGAATTGCACATCATTTTTGTAAATTCTGATGAATGCTCATCAACCTTTTCATCAACCTTATTTGTACCTTTTCAGCATTATTTATTCTTTATTTCTGCAAATGGCAACACAAACATCAGGCAAGGTTCAGCATATAATGGAAGATAATGCAGTGTGACTCTCAGGCATTCTGTACTGCTTTAAAATAGCTTTTCTAATTTAATAACCCGCTGAGTGTATATACAGACAGGAGCTACTCTTTAGTCTTTCTTTGTGTTTGCTAATTTTATGTTATCTGTTTGAGGAAGTAACCTGATAAAATATGCTAACAAAGGGACTGATTATCAGACTTTCTCTGAAAAGTGCTCTGATATCAAACTTCCTCTCTAGCTCCTCTTTGAATCCTTAAGCTAAATTGATTCAATAATGAATAAAAACTAAGAAAAAACAAATCTGTGGTGAAAACCAAAGAAACAAGAATTAGTTTGGTATGAAGTTGTGAGCCAAACAATTATTATTTATGTTGACATACTTCAATTCCCTGAATGAAAATTAGAACATTCAAGCTGCTCATGAAACATAGTGGGAGTGTACCAATTGCTGTCCATCAGTCATAGCTTGCTAGCAGGATTAAAATGTGTCACTTTTGTGAAACATGTACAGTGTGTTATATCACAGTATACATGATGCTTCACTTTTAAATTGGGCTTAAACCTGACAAAAAGCCCATGGTCAAGATGGCTATTTGAAACAAGAGAGAGTGAAAGGAAGAGTTACTTTGTACTAGTTTTATAGCTTAAATAAGAGGGGTTCGTAGCTAATTCAAGTTACTTATCTATATATTGCATGTAATTTCGCTTTTCTCCATAGACATTTTAATGTCATTTATTTTATTGAGCATAAACAGTTTAGAGTCTGTTCATAACCACAGTGCACAGTCATGTGCTTTGCAAGGTCAATTAGTCCATTTTAAATTGTTTTTTATGTTTAATATGTATTATTGGGGTTGCGGGAAATAGTACCTCAATAACATGTCTAAACCGGAAGAGTAACAGTTGCACGTTGGTATTTATTTATTTATTGACTTTGTAAGGATTTAACTGCTGTGCTTTTACCTTGAAAAGCTTTCTGAAGAGACAGGTTTTGACTACGAGAAGTCGGCTCTTTCTCTCCTCTGCCATGTCACTTTATTGTATGAACCGAGACATGTGTGGGTCCAAAACGTGGGTCTGTGTATAACGCGACCCTGGAGGAAACCCATAAGAACCACTCACCTCTGCACCTCCTGCTCAAACTCCACCTGCTCCTCTCTTTCCCGCTGCTCCTTCTTCTTTTTCCCACTCCGCTTCGTTTTCTTCTTCTTCTTCGTGCTCTCTCGCTGTTCTCTCTGCGGCAGCTCCTCGGGCTCCGACATATCTACTGTTTATTTACGCACAAGCAAATAAACAAAACAAACAAACAAACAAACAACAAAAACTCTACCGTTATGAGTTTGATACCCTCTGATAAACACGTAGTAAGCTGATCACGGTGTATTTCCGGGTCTTGTCGCTATGGCAACAGGCAGCGGCTTTAGTTTAGCGGACTGGCACAGTTCGAGCACGCGGCAGATTCACTGGTGTGTAATCAACAAGCGCGCGCGCGCACCTGTGTGAGCTTCAAAACTCAGGTTTGTTTATTGCTGCATTTTAGCGTGAATGTCATTAGCAATCCAAATTTTTTAATTATATTTATAGGAGTCACTGGAGATAAAAATATAATTAACATTGCAGGCTAAACAGCAGAAAAAATATTTTAAAAAGGCAGACCTTACCTTTGACACCTTAAATAGTTAAGATATTTCAGGAGTTTGGTATTTTATGTTTCCATGTTGTTTTATTTTTCTATTTTTATTTTTCACTGTTTTTAAAACTGGGAATCAGTAAGCTAGCACTGTCGCAGGCTAGCTAGACTGATTAACAAGGTGCAATTGTAATGTACTACATGACAGTTAAGGAGGATTTAAACTTTTATTTTATGTAAAGTTAGCATTTTAATCTAATTGTGTTTTCACATCTATATGTGTTTAATCTGTTCCAAAACAGGTGATACATCTGGCCAATAAGCCAACTAAACATTCTCATGTGTTTGTAGTTACAGACTTGGAGTTCACTTGGAAAAACACAGACATTCTAGCACCTCTAAAACTCACTAATTAGTATGTATATTAGCATATCTTGCTAATTTAATCTATACACAAACATAGATTTGCAGCTCATTTCTGACCACAATATGCTATGATAATATGACTTTCATGTATAACGGAACCAGTGGAAGTGATTCGTCTCTTAATAGACGCTTTCACTCTGTCATCTTCTCCAGTAACTAAAGACACAAATAAAAGCTGCGTTTAGATCCTCCCTCATACTGAGAGACAAATATAAGTATATTTAGCAAAAGCCAGTTAACAACAAACAGAACATGAAGCATCAATACTTTTGATATGACTGCCTGCATTTTGATCCATCCATCCATCCAATTAATTATAGTCAAGGCATGAGTCCCCTTATATGCTATAATAGACAGCCAATCAAAGAGGAAAGTGACTCTGGTATAAACACCATATTATGAGCCACAACACAAACGTGTGTGTGTGTTGCTGACAGATGGCTGAGTTAAAGCTGCATTAATCAGTATTATGATCAGCCAACAGACTGAAACGCAAAACCACTATCACAAAGACTTGTGCTAATACTGTTAATTAATAATACTGATAATACAGCTGCTGCTGCTAAAGCGAAAGCTACCTTCTGAGTGTAATAACGCATTTGTAGTTTCACTGTGAGCAACTTACACAAGCAGCCGTCATTGAGATTTTTTCTAGAGCTCCACATTTGCCTTCACAGTGTCCCTTTACTGGAAGCATGGTTATTTTGAAGTGAGGTTTTCAGAGCTTCCAGATATTTAGGATATTTAGGATCCGTACCAATAATTACAGCCACTGTTTGACTGTTGAAAAGAGCCTTTGCCACTTGTTTTTACCCTTTCTCTGATTTTCTACCTGCTTTTACATCGTCCTGTCTAATGAAAGTAAAAAAAAACTAACATATTTTTTTACTTATATAATCTTTTCTTTGTGGTTTAAATTCTGGAGTTCTGACCAGGATTTATTCATGCTTTAGTTGAAGTTTCTCTCATTATTATTCCATTTATTCCACCAACAGGAAGGCTAAATGGTGGGATATGGCCACCATATTGTCCCTGTTGACTTACACACAGACACACACACGCACACACACACACACACACACACGCACCAATACTCAGCAGGACAGCAGTGTGTGGAGCGGGGCTCTCATGCATAAACAAGATCATTTTCATAAATTAAAATCTTGCTTGCAGAACGAACATCTGTGCCCTTCACACACACACGCACACACACACACACACACACACACAGAGAGAGAGAGAGAAAGAGAGAGAGACTGTAATCTGAGTTTTGTCCTTTATTTGGCGTGATAATGTCATTAGCATGATTTCCTCTGGAAGGAGATATGAATTTCTCCCTTGTGTGTTTAGTGTTGTGCAAGGAGCCTAAACACAGCCGTCACATGCAAAATTTGTGACGGTATTATGACATCAGATTTTGTGGGAATTTTTCAAGAATACTCGCATAGCTGCGAGCAGCCAATTTCTTCCTCTTCAGGTTAAGCACTCATTACATTGCATTAAAAAAACACCTAACCTCAGTTTAAACCCCTTAAACAGCAACCTTATAAGAACTCAGATTTCGGGATGTTGATTTGGTTTCCAAAATTTAACCTTCAGTATTTTTGTCTAGACCAAGGAGGTCAAACTCTTTAAAAACGTGGGCCACTTCACATCAAAGTTGGTTGAACCAGTGAAACTACAGTAAACGTGTAACCTTACAGAGAAGGTTCTGGTTAGTCATTGCTCAGATAGTACTGTAATTCCAAATTTTTAAATATAAAGTTTTCAGTAATTTACTGAAGCCTTGTACTTTGATGTAGTATAGATACAATGGGGGATGGAAGTATTTGTCAATAGGAAAATGTGTATAACTTGTGAAAATACTGTTAAAAGTCCCAAATCTATGCACTTCTACACATTTTCTAAACCTGTCCAGTGGCCTGGGTTGTAGTCTTTTGCCTGACCTTATGTTTGGCACCCCTGGTCTAGACTTTCTGAAACTGAAGGGTGTTTCCAACAGAAAAGACTAAGAAAACAAAAGATTATTCACATTAATTAGGCTGAATAAATTCTTAAAAATACATCAATATATATATATAATGATGTATTTCATTTGAGGTATCTACCCACTAGCCACTTTTATTAGGTATGTATTGCTAGTACTGTGTTGGACCCCCCTTTTATCTTCAAGACTGGCACAAATGTGTAAAAACTCCTCAGAGATATTAGTCCATGTTGACAGGACAGCATCATACATTTGCTGCAGATTTGTCAGATCCACCTTTATGACATTAATCTCCCGATCCAGCACATCCCAAAGATGCTCTGTTGGATTGAGATCTGGTGACTGTGGTGGCCATTGATGCTTGGTTTGAACTTTAGCAGGTCATCTTGAAAATGTCTAAATTGCTAGATGCATGGAGTTGCTGCTAATATGGCTGATATTTCCATTAACAAGCAGTTTAACAGTGTATACTTTATAAAGTAACCACTAAGTATTATATACTGCTCTAAAACAACAGCAGGACCAGAACTGGCATGTTATTTGTATGTAATGACATTGTGTTTATTTGTTTTGTTGTCTTTCTGCACATAATGAAAGTCTCTGAGACGGATCACATTGAATCCCTTTTAATAAAAGGTATTTATAAACATCTATCTTATAAAATATGAACAAGAGTCACATGAAATGTTAACAGAACACTACAGGAATGTTATAAAAAGCAAAAAGTAAAAATCACATAAACACTTCGGCTCATCACCGGCCCATCGCCGGCCCAACGCTGCCTCACACACTGACCCAAAAATAGAGAAATCTTTATTCTTTCAACATTTGGAATTATTATACTGAGGGTCACTCAGATTTTTAACAAAATTGCATAGTTTACTCCAGATTATTGCTCATTGATTATTAATTATTTTTAAGTGATAATATGGATAATAACGAGACATTCAGAGAGCGTCTCCCGCAGGATGAAGTGCTACAAAGAAGGTTACATCAAGGTGACATCTTTGCGACGTCGCCGTTGTCAGGATGAGTCGCAGAGCCTGACGCAGACAGAAAGAAAAAAAGCAAGGACAGACAGAAAGACAGCTTTAAAACGATAGAAGTACACAAGACTGTCTTTCCATACAAAGGTCTCTCTGTCTTCATCAGTCTCTCAGTCCTTCGTCCTCTTCTTCCTCAGGAGTCATGGAAGATGGCGTTCAGCTGGGCGTTCATCAGCCGCTCGTGGTGTGAGTGTCCGTCAAAGCCCATCAGCCCGTCCACTTGTAGGTCACCACAGCGTGGGTTGGAACCCCCGCTGCCGTAGATGGCGGGGTGTCCTCCAGCTCCCCCGCCTCCATAGTGCACACTGAAGGAGAAGCTCTTGTCGTAATCAGTGGCTGCGACAGCCTCGTGCTTGAAGGACGAGGAGAAGTTCCCGTTGATGCTGAGCGGTGGGCTGAGCGGCGGGTCAAACGCCGGGCCGTCCGACACGAGGACGCCATCAAAGAAGGGCTCCAGTGGGCCGTAGGGTTGACCTTTGACCTGGTGGAAGATGTGAGAGGGGTCCATGGTGCCGTAGGGAGGGCTGGGCAGGCCGGCCGTAAGCCCGGGGCTCTGGTAGGGAAAATGTCCGGGGTAGGAACTGGCACCGACAGGGGGAAGGTGAGCCGGCAGGTCTGGAGTCTGCTCTGGCAGGAACGTCCGAGGGTTAAGCTGCAGGCAGCCCGCCACCAGATTAGTGGTCGGCTGAGACAGACCTGACAATAGAAGGACAATGATTAGCCAATACTGATCAATACATGCTGGTCATTATTTCTTTATAGCATTAAATAGTTAATAATTAGTGCTTGTCAATGCTTGTTAATGACTATAAACACAGTTTATTGGTATCAGTCTATTGTCATGAGGTTCATTTATACATGTTAATAAATACGAATACCTGCTATTAAATGTAATAGAAGCACTAATTAACTATTCATCCATGTACAGTAATATTATTTTTTATTAAGTTGAATTTAAATATTATAACTGTATGCTGTAATAGCTGTTAATAAATGCCAGTACATATTAATTAATGCTATTTTTTGAGAATCTTAAAATTGTGACTAATTAACTAATTTTATTATTTTATGTAAAAAAAAAAAACACAGGCAAACAAAACGCAGAGATGTTATGCCAAAATGTAGTTCCATAATGACACCTACAAGGTTATTTAAAAAAAATCTAATTAGTACTGCTGCTTGCAGTCAAGTAATTTCTCTCTTTTTTAAAACACATACAGGGCTAGTTTAATAGACATAATATTATACATGAAATCTGATGACCTCATCCCAGAAAAATCTGCATGCATCCACCAGTAAACTATGAATAAGTAGATGAACTGATGAGCTAAACCTCAAACCTCACTAAACACATTCACCTGAGACATTATACATTTATCTAACTAATTTCTTTATGATTTTCAGGAATTTTGTTATTTTGCATTACACGTATTGACGACTTCACCTCGTTGAACCACACTCATTCATTATAAAAACTACCTTCTCATGAGACATCATTAATTTTACCTGTGCTGCTCCTACTGTGACACTTCTAAATATTTGTTGTAAAAAAGCTGTATTACAGTCTCATCTATCAGCTAAATTGTCACACTAAAGAGTGTAAGGAGTACACATGCTCATTGTGCCCAATGGGAAAATGCTTCCTGGGTAAAAACCCTTGTTGTCTCTTTATGTTTCATAATCAGAGACCAGACTGGGTCAGCCTTCGGTCCAGTCCAGTGTAGTCTGTTATTGTTAGGTGGGATTTACCTTTGCAGAGTGCCTGGACGAAGCTCATGAGGTCAGGTGCCTTTCCAGAGCGCAGTATCTCGCTCAGGGCCCAGATGTAGTTCTTGGCGAGGCGCAGTGTCTCAATTTTTGATAGTTTCTGCGTTTTGGAGTAACAGGGGACGACTTTTCGCAGACTCTCCAGGGCATCGTTCAGGCCGTGCATGCGGTTTCTTTCCCGGGCGTTAGCCTTCATCCGACGGACCTTAAACCTCCAAAATACATGAAGCAGATTCATTGTTAGCTGGGTTATCTTTCATTTCATCTGAAACATCTTAGTAGTGTTCATTTTTATTCAGTAAGCTTTTGCATAAGTTTGCAAACAATTGTATGTAGGTGTAAAACGTTGCATGCTATAATTTTCTGCATTTAGAGCTAAGAGTAAGTTAGAGCTTTAAAAAAAAAATATTACATGTATGTGAGCCAAAACACTGACCTTTATTGTAAAGCATAAATCTATCTATCGATCTCTACAAGTGTGATCTTAAAAAAATGCAGAAAACTACAAAAAATAAAACTAGTATTTCAACCATCCTTTGAATATTTTATTCCTGTTAAGCGGTTTTGTGTCTTTTTAATAGTTTAATCCAATGCAAGTGATTTCTACTGAATGGGTCCTGCTTTACAGAGGTTGAACCTTGTAAGATTTCCGCTAGTGCAACTTTGGATTTTTAATTTTTAACTTGAAAGTGTTGCTTTCACATGCAGGCCATTTACCATTTACCATTCACATCACACTGAGAGCAAGCAGAGGAAAAGAGAATCTACCTCTGCAGACGAGCCTTCGTCATCTTCTTCTTCTTGGGCCCTCGCCTTTTGGGTTTGCTCTCCCCGTCTTCTTCTTCCTCTTCCTCCTCTTCATCCTCCTCCTCCTCCTCCTCTAGATGATGGAGGCAGTCCTCGTCCTCCTCACCTCCTCCACCTGTAACTCCTTCTGCACTCCTCTCTCTTTCTGCAGGGCTGCAGAGCTCCTGCTGCTCATCCGACTCCACTGACATCTGCTCCTCCAGCACAGACCTCGTCATGATGCTGATTTCTGATGGAAAACAATTTTAGCTGATATTAAAGAATAATAAAACACTCCTGAAAGTTTGCTGTCACACTTAAGCTTAACAGAACAGAGAACAATTAACAGTTTGGGATTTTAAGATTTAGTCCCTGACTTTAGAACATTTGGGTAGAATTTTATTTAGATGGTCTTTATTTAAATAAAACAGAACAAAGACGATGAAATTAAAGGAGCAATTGGACATTTTAATTTAGCCGCTGAAAGACAGAAAGAAAGATCCTCTGTTGAACCGAATCCAATATTAAATATAAATGCCAAATATAAACATAAAATGTGCAGACAAAAGTACCATCTCTACACAAGAAAAAATAATGTAATAAAAGAAAACTGCGGTGTTAAGAATGGCTGCACAATTAGCTACAAGGTGTGTTTTCATATTTAGATATTAGAATCTGTCGGTAACACCCGCGCAAAGGATTGCAAACTGCCTCCAGAGAGACGCAATCACGTCTCTGTTCAGAATTTTTTTTTTAATGATTTAACAGAAAGCGTTTAAAATATATCGAAACTTTAAATTAATATATATATTTTAAAAAAACATTTAAAGTATTTAACAAAGTGTGCGAAATGAAATGAAAGGCATTGTGTTACAGCTTATTGATAAAAAGTGTAGTTTTTTATAAGGCGAAGTTACAATAATAATAGTAATAAAATAATAATAATAATAAGACTTTCTTTCTGCTGACTGGTTCCGTTAGTTTAACAGACCGACAGACGGCTGCAGGTGAGCAGACATTCGGTAACACGAATATAAAATACAATCGAAACTAAACGGATTAATAATTAAATTACGTTTTTTATTTTAGGAAAAAGTGTGTAACAGATTGGTCAACAAACAGGATAAAAACTCAAATATATAATATATAAACCAAAAAAAAGAAAAGAAAAAAGGAAACTAATTTTAATTATTACAAAACAAAAATTACAGGCTTTTGCTTTTCTTTTTTTTAAACTGTCCTTTCTAATTGTCTAATTGTCTATACATTAGATGAGACGAAATAGGCTATTTTATTCATTGGTAAGTAAAGTGATCATTAACGTTCTAATAATTAATTAAAAAATAATTTTAAAAAATTTAATCACAAATAAGAAACCATATTCATCATTCCCAAGGTCAGACAACGCCGAGTCCCAGCAACCAGAGGCATTCGCATATTGATTTTTATTCAGTTATGAACCTACCTGCTGTAATGAGCCGCTGTATGTCAGATCGCACGCATCCCGCGCGCTCTGTCTGCGTGTCCGTGCGTGATTGTGCGTGATCTGCTATGAGCTTTCTGAGGTGTGTGTGGGATGCTGCTGGTTTTATACTCATTACACCCACGCAGCGGGGTTTGGTGGGGGTAATTAGCATATTGAGGCCCCGCCCTCCTGGCACGCGCCATATGGTGCTTGCGTCATTAAAACGGCCTCGGGGATCACGTGACAAATCTTCCATTTGTGCCATCCAGTCTCTCTCTTTCTCTCTTTCTCCCTCTCTCTGTCTTTTGTGAGGTGAGTTGACCATCTGTCGCCACAACATCTACGCATGCGTAGATTTAAACTTACTGCTGGAAGGCGAGTGTTGCATGTGATGATTGAGGTCACTATAGGCCTCAAAAACTTATCATTGCTGTCTGTTTTTAAACGTAAATGATTTGTAAATGATTAGGCGACAGCTTCTCACCTGTGGCTCTGAATCACAGCTCACTTTTCTGACAGGTAACAACATCTTGAGCTGTTGAAATGTGACTGACCCGTCTCTTTCTCATGAATAATTAACAAAAATACCTCCAATCTCCTGCTGAGGAGATACTCATAGATGGGTCCTAGTGCTGTTTGATTCTTTATGTATATAATAAACATGTAGAGGAAAGACTCAATAGCTGTAAGAATGAACAAAAACTTGTGTGCCTGTAAATATTTTGTCTGTACCTGGATTACTTGTATTCAGATTACTGTTGAGTTTAAATTATCTGAACTTTTCCATCCATTCATCCATTTTGTGCCACTTATCCAGATCTGGGATTTCCTCCCCCCAGTTATCTCCTTCAGCTCTTTGCACTGAGGGGCATCGCGGCACTTCCAGGCCAGCTCAGACCTTCCCTACAGCATGCCTTGGATTTGCCCCAGGGTCTCCACGCAGCCGGAGATCCCTGAAACACTTAGGAAGCATCCAGGAAGCATCCCGGTAAGATGCTCAGTGTGGAAAAGTAGCAGCTCTCCTCTAAACCCCTCTGAAGTAACAAAGGGCCTCTTTGCCACTTGTATCTGTAAACTCATTCCTTTGGTCACACAACGAGTCATTCAACAAGTTCACTTTACATTCTCTCTTCGCCACAACAGACCCACATTACTGTTCAGTAACATAGTCAACGTCTTACTCTATAAAGCCAGTTAGTTTGTAGAGCTAAGTGAATGCGATAAAACTCAGTATAAATGGAAATTTTTTAAAATTGTATTTTAAAAGGCATGTGTACAGACCTGCAACTGTGGCACATGAACTTGATCCAATCAGTTCAATCAGGACAACATATTATACTAGTTCTTCAGGGCCTTAATGATGAGGCTTGATCAGACGTACATGACCGTGACTCTCTATAGAAAAGAGGTGACCTGATATTGCCATGTTCATCTACGATGTCAGAGGTTTATTATGACTCATGGCTAGTGATAGTGCTTTCGAATGCAACAGTCTTAATGAGAGCTTAGAAGGACATGAGGAGGCTGAGATAGTAAATGGCCTGTATTTGTACAGCGCTTTACTAGTCCCTAAGGACCCCAAAGCGCTTTACACATCCAGTCATCCACCCATTCACACAC